CATGTCTTCCCACATATCTCTTCCCACACATGTTTTCCCTCATATCTCTCCTCACACATGTCTTCCCACATATCTCTCCCCACACATGTCTTCCCACATATCTCTCCTCACACATGTCTTTTCACATATCTCTCCTCACACATGTCTTTTCACATATCTCTCCTCACACATGTCTTCCCACATATCTCTTCCCACTCATGTCTTCCCACATATCTCTCCTCACACATGTCTTCCCACATATCTCTTCCCACTCATGTCTTCCCACATATCTCTCCTCACACATGTCTTCCCACATATCTCTTCCCACTCATGTCTTCCCACATATCTCTCCTCACACATGTCTTCCCACATATCTCTCCCCACACATGTCTTCCCACATATCTCTCCTCACACATGTCTTTTCACATATCTCTCCTCACACATGTCTTTTCACATATCTCTCCTCACACATGTCTTCCCACATATCTCTTCCCACTCATGTCTTCCCACATATCTCTCCTCACACATGTCTTCCCACATATCTCTTCCCACTCATGTCTTCCCACATATCTCTCCTCACACATGTCTTCCCACATATCTCTCCCCACACATGTCTTCCCACATATCTCTCCTCACACATGTCTTTTCACATATCTCTCCTCACACATGTCTTTTCACATATCTCTCCTCACACATGTCTTCCCTCATATCTCTCCCCACACATGTCTTCCCACATATCTCTCCTCACACATGTCTTCCCTCATATCTCTCCTCACACATGTCTTCCCACATATCTCTTCCCACACATGTCTTCCCACATATCTCTTCCCACACATGTCTTCCCACATATCTCTCCTCACACATGTCTTCCCACATATCTCTTCCCACACATGTCTTCCCACATATCTCTCTCCCCACACATGTCTTCCCACATATCTCTCCTCACACATGTCTTTTCACATATCTCTCCTCACACGTGTCTTTTCACATATCTCTCCCCACACATGTCTTCCCTCAAATCTCTCCCCACACATGTCTTCCCACATATCTCTCCCCACACATGTCTTCCCACATATCTCTCCCCACACATGTCTTCCCACATATCTCTCCCCACACATGTCTTCCCACATATCTCTCCCCACACATGTCTTCCCACATATCTCTCCTCACACATGTCTTTTCACATATCTCTCCCCACACATGTCTTCCCACATATCTCTCCTCACACATGTCTTCCCACATATCTCTCCTCACACATGTCTTCCCACATATCTCTCCCCACACATGTCTTCCCACATATCTCTCCCCACACATGTCTTCCCACATATCTCTCCCCACACATGTCTTCCCACATATCTCTCCTCACACATGTCTTCCCACATATCTCTCCTCACACGTGTCTTTTCACATATCTCTCCCCACACATGTATTCCCACATATCTCTCCCCACACATGTCTTCCCACATATCTCTCCCCACGTCTCACCACACTTGTCTACACACAACTGTCTCCCCAAAAATGTCTCCCACACACGTCTCCCAACACATGTTCCCCACTCACGTCTTCCCCACACATGTCCTAAAATCTCAATGCTCCCACCTTCCCCGCCATTCTCCCCCACTTTTGTCTAACTTCCACACACCATTCTCCTTATAGTTACGTGTCTCCCCACACCATTATTCCCAGCTACCTTCCCACACATATCTCTACACATGACTCCCACACTTAACTCCTGTCCTCACACGACTAAGACACAATATTCCCTTCCCCCTTCCCACTCCCCCCACCCCATATGTATACCTATACCACCCAAATTAACATGTCAATACCTCTGAAGTATAATTAGAACCGAACTTAAAAACTCAAACTATTTTTACCGCCGTGTTAATCAGCAGACGTAATAGCGCCCCCTGTGGGTGATTGATTTCAATCATTCATGAATAAGACAACGTATTGTTTGATATCTTTGCGTGTGACCGCCTCAAGAATGGGCGCCTTTAACATGGTAATCATGGTAAGGGGCGATAACTGCCAGTAATAATGTTTCAACAAGATGGCCGTACGTTGGGGGGAGAGGGGGGGGGGTTGAACCAGATTGTTGACACTAGATACGACCACGGGTGTAATGGTGTTTGGTGTACAGCTGTGAAGATTTAGTTTCCATTTAAAATGTATTTTTTAAAGCTACCCATACACCATAGATATTTCTTGAGGGTAGAGGTGGGTTGAAATTACGATGTGTGTTTTTGTTACGATTTACTAACAATAATCTGTTTCAAATGCGAAATAGCCGCTAAACCCCCATGTAAAATAAATAAATTACCTTAATGTTACCTCGTCACATAGTCAAAATGTACGACCCCCACCACCTTACCTCCACCCACCCCCCCCCCCCACACACACACACAAACACACACAATGGGTGTGTCGTCATTTTTCACTATCCTTATCTACGAGGGCGGCTCCGGGGGGGGGGGGGGGGACTTTCGCTATCCCTAATGCTTGATCTAAGGTCAGGTGAGGGATTAGGACAAAAGTGTTGGGTTATGGTTATTGTTAGTGATGCCAGTAAAAAAAAAATAACTTCGACACTGCGTCTTGTGCGATCACAGCAGTACCGCTTAGACCAGCAGTAATTTGGGACCATTAGACTATTATCTGTTGAATTGGTCTCTTGTCATCTGGACACATTGGACCATTGTGTGTTGAATTAGTCTCTTGTCATCTGGACACATGGGACCATTGTGTGTTGAATTAGTCTCTTGTCATCTGGACACATGGGACCATTGTGTGTTAATTAGTCTCTTGTCATCTGGACACATGGGACCATTGTGTGTTAATTAGTCTCTTGTCATCTGGACACATGGGACCATTGTGTGTTGAATTAGTCTCTTGTCATCTGGACACATGGGACCATTGTGTGTTGAATTAGTCTCTTGTCAGCTGGACACTTGGGACCATTGTGTGTTGAATTAGTCTCTTGTCACCTGGACACATGGGACCATTGTGTGTTGAATTAGTCTCTTGTCACCTGGACACATGGGACCATTGTGTGTTGAATTAGTCTCTTAACTGGCTGAAGAAATATGACCTCTGCACTAAACTAACGCCCCATTGAGCTCTCAATTGACACACAACAAAAACTGTTTAAGTAGGTTACAATACATATTTAGAACACACGGCTCTAGAAGAAAGTGCGGATTAAGGATGGGACTAACGTGACAGCAACCCGGGGCCCCCTTATTTTTTTACTATGCATCTTTGGTGACAACACAAAAATATCTAATTATTCATTCAATTCGGTTTTTAATGTATCATTAGAATTTTTTTTTTCGATTCTCTTTATTTAATAACAACATATGACATTAAAAATAAGATTGCTTTAGAAAGAATACCCCCCCCCCCATCTCCTCCATCCTCCCCACTGTCCCCTTTAAAAAAAAAAAACTACGTCAGCCTACGTCAGTTTGTGTTTATCACTTGGCTTTCAACTCCTGGTTAACATCCTGACAATGGCCAAGTCTTTACTTTCGTCCAACTACATAAACACACATATTGATGTTTTACGTCTACCGTTTTTGGTATTGGTGATCAATTTTAACACTCCAAATGCCGCAAAAAAAAAAAAAACTAAGCAAACTAAATCGATCAACGGCTGTATACATCTTAATCCCAAGTGGATAACAGAATGCAATGAATCTAGTGCGGTTTTTTTTTAAGTAAACCAAAAAGGAAGTGTTTGATTTTTAAAAAAAATAGTCCACTCACTTACCCATACCCCGGTTACGTTACATAATATTACCATATACATTTCTATTTCAGCCCTTGATATCAGACCTATATAATATTAACAGGCATATTTCTTGCAGCCGCCTTATATCCCTTCCCTTACAAACCAAGATACAATTTAGTACTACAACCAGTATTGATTTTAGGAATATGTGACGCATTATTGCATATTTTTTATAGAAGGAGTTGTCCAAAATGACGTCACACTTGTAGCGGGAGGGGGGGGGGTCCGTAATTTTGTGAAGGTGTGTGATTAGTGTTTCTTCCAGACTTTTTTCTCCGGGGGTCACTTGAAATTTTCGGGGGGGGGGGGGGGGGGCGGTAGACTTTCTTCGGGGGGGGGGGGGCGGACTCTGTTAAAAGTATATATTTTCTATATAAATTTCATTTCGTTCGGGGGAGGGGCGGTAATTTTTCTTCGGGGGGGGGGGGGGGGTAAGGTAAAAATCGTCAAAAGAAAGTAAAAAACAGCTGTTTTGAATATGTTTTTCATCATGACAAGTTGGCCTATTTCAGTATTTTTAAACATAGTGTGGAAATTTTTTTGAGATTGTTGTGCGCGTGCGTGTAATTCTAGATGATTAAATGTAAAACCTGCCGCTAATGACCAATTATATTTGATTTTTGCCTTAATGAACATTTGACACGGGGCAGGGAGTGGGAAGGAGTCTAAACATCCCTACGATATGGGCCTGATTCCAGCACGGGGTCCTTTAAAGACTAAAACTGTCACACTTTACATTTAAAAAAAATTAACTATGGAAAACCTACGATGCACTATGAAGCAAAAGAATGGGCTGTCTATTCACTTCGCTTAGAAGATTGACCCATAAAGATAAGCCACACTGCTTATCAATTTCATTGCACACAATTCTCTATGCAAACTAAATCTACTAGCCACTTGGTTTTAAAAATTTCAAGATTGTTAGTTTTTCAGACATTTTTTTTAACTTACTAGTCTACTAGTCTAGATCTAATAATCTAATTTAGGCCGTATTACATAAATTAAAAAAAAAATTTTTAAAAATTGCGAGGTTCTAAATCTATTTAGAATCTCGAGGCCTGCTTAATTGGTTGTTATGTAATCGTATCCTCTCGAGTCGATCTTGTTAATTTGGTTAATGATTTTTTTTAATAAATTGTTTTTATTTACTCAGTTTAAATTTATGGAAAAGCGCGTTATATAAAATTAATTTAAATGATTTTTATTTAGAACTGATACGGGTCCTATCAATGAGATAACACATGCGCTTGGCGGAAATCGTGTACAGCTGATTTAGGGTTACGAAGGTGAAGGTCTTTGTCGCACGACGATGGCAGCCTCCATTGTAAGAAAGCTTGTTGGCTCAACGTATAAATGTACTGTAATATCAAGACTTGTAACTTCTGAAACTTTAGGCAAACGAACATTTAGCTTCTCTAGATGTTTAGCTGGTAAGTTAATTGCTCTAAAAAGATAGATCTAGTATTAAAATAATCTAGATTCTAGTTCTAGCAGTATTTGAAGATCGCATCGTGACTGTCCTGTGTGTCCAAATCATCGATTGTTGATTTTGTTGACGTTGGTACAGTACAGTACATGTCGATTAGATTTCTACATATCCTACCTAATTTTCCTAAGGTTCTAAACACAGTAGTTTACCCAAAAGTGTCATACTCTAGAGAAGAATATTGGGATTATTAGCTTAAATATTAAAAGTAAAGGTAATCTATCGTTTTAGGTACGTAAAATCGGCCGCGACTAGTAATGTGAAAAACAGGTGACTCCTTACATTTTAATAATTATTTCACATTTTGATGAGGATTTATGTTTTGAAAAATACAAAGATGTTTCCTTGGTAAAATCTTAGTTTAGCGTCGTAAATTCGGCCAAATCTAGTAATGTAGGAGAGAGTGCATTAATGAATGTCATTAAAATATGAGTATATTTTCGTATATTTTGATAAAATATTATAAATAATTGAATAATAGATCACCATTTATGGTTAAATCAATTTAAATGTCCTGAAATTAATTTTTATCAACCCTGTTCGAGATAGTAAATTTGCTATTAAAAACAGCAGCCATCTTAAGAAAATGTTATTTAGAGTAGCTTCCCTTTCATTTCTATTCGTATAAAAATGTATTTAAATATGATTGTCTTGTTGTATAGTCCGTATTACAAAGCATTTTTTTTTTTAAATTCTGCTCTTTAAAAACTGAATTTCCTAACAAACAACTTTATTAATTCTAGAAGCATTGTGAGATGCAACTTGTATCCATGTTTTAAATCACGTTTTTTTTACTAATGTTTATTTGATCTTATTATTACTATATAGTTTGAGATTTTTCTTATTGTTTGAATGTTCACTATTTTCATTTCAGGTTTTTCTTTTCATCAATTAGTGATTCTATCATAACTTATGACATTTTTTTTACTTCTCTGTACCTTAATTAAACCCCAATCTCCGTCATATTTTTGTTGTCAATGTCACAACAAGTCATAAGGGGTCATCCATAAATGACGTCACACTAGTAGGGGGGAGGTCCGTAATTTTGTGACGATGTGTGATGAGGGAGAGGGGGGGGGGGTTCAGATGTTGCGACGTCACATTTTTGCATTATAAAAAAGCAATGTTAGAAAACGAATTTTAGACGTTATTTCGCGTTTTAGATAACTGTTATAATAAATTGAATAATGTAATAGTTTAGACAAGATTTTGGAAAAATATCGATGTTTAAAAAAAAATTCAACTGCAATTTTGAGGGGGGTTGTAGGTTGAGGTGTGACGTCATTTTAGGGGGGGGTCTGGCTTTTTGTGACGACGTGTGACGGAGGGAAGGGGGGGGTAAAAATTGTCAAAAAAAGCGTGACGTCATTTATGGATGACCCCTAATGTAAAAAATTACGCTTCGCTCTGCCTTATCTAAGATCTCTAGCCATAATTTTGACAACAATAAATGTTTGTCATCATTTATATATACAGAGAGACAAAATGTATTATCCACCAGCTTCCCTCGTAAAACATCATCTAAAATAATCAGCCACTCCACCCCTTAAGTGCGTGTTGTCATTATGGTCGATCGCAAGTCTCCACCTGCCAGACACATTTTGGTTATCCTTTGTTGTCAAAATGTCAATATCAAGTACCCAAGTGAGTGATATGGGGTTGTCCATAAATGATGTCACATATGATTTGCTACGGGAGTGAGTGAAGATTTGTGACGTCAACTAAGGCGGCTCCGCAATTTATGACGTGTCGGTCTCAAGAAAGGAGGTGAACGGGGAAAATACCTAGGTGATTGATGGAGAACCTCTATAATGCTTTGTTCAATCAAAATAACGATAAATAGGCATTAGTATACGTATACCTTGCTTAAAACGAATCATCACAAATGTTGCAAGCCTGCTAGTTTAAGACATTCGGCAAAACGGCCGCAACACATTATCCCCGTCAAAAAGGCTTGCCACCAAATGCCTGCCGACGAATAAGCAGCGTCTAATGCGGGGCGTTAGGAATACGGCCATTAGCATGGGGCCGCGTTAGAGCACCAGTAAGCTATCGCGCTTTGTAAGATGACGTAAATACTTAAATTCAATTTCGCGAAACTACGCGAAAATTTAGTAATGTTCCATCGTTTGAGGAAATATAATTTACTTTAATATAAGTGTCATCTTATCGTTTATTGTGCTTTTTATAAAGCGCATAGCAGCTTCAAAATCGGACGGCCATTTTCACCAAGCTTCTTTTGGAGCTTAATATGGGTAGTCTAGCTCTATACGGTGAGAGCTTAATACATTTTTAAAGGGCCGAATGTCTCAAGACAGCAAGCTTGCAGAAATAACCACGTACGTTTAAATGGACGAGTGATAGGTGTGTTAGGGGCTGTTTAATGAACACCAACTTATGTAATCAAATTAAACGTCGCATAAGCGTCAAAAAGGCAGTGCTGGTTGTTTTTTTTATATAAAATTAGCCTAACGGTCTGCGGTGCCGGTACATGACGTCACGTGCGAGCGTTAACTCGGTGACGATGTACTAAGTGGGGGAATGAAAAAGGTGGGGTTCAAGAAATGCGACTCAGTAAGCTTTTTACATTTCTTGACCCTTCTTAACAGTTCTATCGTCCCCACTGAGAAAATGGATCACCAATGAATGACGCGTCATACTTCTACAGCTGGTCTTTCTCCCACAACCATCCCGTTTTCACGAAAAAAAAAAACCTGACCCGTCTCCAAAATCACATCGCTGAGTTCTACTCAACCTCTCCCCACCACAAATCACAATTTCTATCTGAAACAATATGTTCATATGTTTGTTCTGTAATAATGCACGCTGTCATTACTATCTTAAGAGCGACGTCATTTATGAGCGATCTAATATTGATTTGATTACTGCAAATAAAGTGTTCAAAAGTTCGACCTCCCAACAATTGTTGTGGTCTTGGATGCACACTATTAAGTCTGAAAAGGTGTATTACTATTACCATAGTTATTCATGTCAACTATATTGAAAAAAAGAAAAATTACTATACAGGGGGTCATCCATAAATGACGTCACGCTTCTTTTGACGATTTTTACCTCCCCCCTCCCCTCCGTCACATGTCGTCACAAAAAGCTGGACCCCCCTAAAATGACGTCACACCTCAGCCTACAACCTCCCTCAAAATAATTGCAGTTGATTTTTTTTTTAAATAGCTATATTTTTCCAAAATCTTGTCTGAACTCTGTCAAAATAGAGTATTTTAATCAATTGTTACTACAATGTATTAAAACAGTTTTCTAAAACGCAAAATAACGTCTAAAATTCGTTTTCTAACATTGCGTTTTTATAATGCAAAAGTGTGACGTCGCACCATCTGAACCCCCCTCCCCCTCATCACACACCGTCACAAAATTACGGACTCCCCTTCCCCCCTACGAGTGTGACGTCATTTATGGACGACCCCCAGGCATATATTAAAACAATACAAAACAATCATATTAAACCACAAAATCAACACAAATGACATGCGAATAGACAATTTTTCAAGGGAAACTACACTATTTATGTTTTTGAAACATGGCCGCTGCTTGTATTTACTCATTGTTGTCTCGAACGGGGTAGTTTAAAGTTTATTCCAGGATATTTATGACTGGTTTGGTCTTGGATTGTGATTTGTTATTCAATTATCTGTTATATTATGTAAAATATGACATAAATATGGCCAAATGAAAGAAATATTCATTAGTTACCTTCATCGCACATTACTAGCTACGTTGGAATTTACGACGCTAAACTAAGATTTTACCGTTTCCTTGTTTCATTTATGTACCTGTTTTTAAACAATTGAATTAAAACTTTTCAGTAATAAATGAACACCAGCGATGTTTCCAACAGATGCAACCACGCTCATTTACTATAGCAGCCATCTTGTTTAAGTTTTATTTTTATAGACATATAGCGCGAGATTCAGGCGGAAGTCACTCTATTTTACAAATGGCTGCTGTTTATATAGCAAATCTTGCTTGCAGACAAAGCTGTTTAAAGTTAATTTCTGGCCTATATTGATATATTTAGCCATTGATTTAGGTTTATTATTCATTTATCTATAATATTTGACACAAACATATCACAATATACTTCTATTACAGCCTTGACAATGAGGTAACGTTTTCGTACATTAATAGCCGCGGGCGATTTTACGTACCCAAAACGATAGATTACCAAAGTAAAGTTTCCCTTTCAAAGCTGACGGTCTATGGAGTCTATGGCCTATGGGGCAAGTGAAGTAGAGTTCACTTGTTTCTGTGACCTCGACATATGAAGAGATAGTGTGGTCAGCACTATGCCCAGCCGCCTTTACTTTCCCTAACGTGAGTTAGGTACCCAAAGAGTTGGGTGGACTCCGGGTGATTTGAACCCGGATTTAAACTCGAGACTTACGGGTTAGCTCGCGACTAGTAATGTGAAAAACGGGTGACTCCTTAAATTTTAATAATTATTTCACATTTACAGGAGGATTTTAGTTTCGAAATTTACAAAAATGTTTCAAAGTTTCATTTATGTGCCTTTTTTTAAACAATTGAATTAAAACTTTTCAGTAATAAATGAAGACTAGCGATGTTTTCATTAGATGCAACCATGCTCATTTACTATAGCAGCCATCTTGTTTAAGTTTTTTTTGTGTAAACTTATAGCGGGAGATTCAGGGGAAGCCACTGCTGTTTATATAGCAAATCTTGCTCGCAAACACGGCTTTTTAAAGTTAATTTCTGCCCTATATTGATACGTTTAGCCATTATTTTGGTTTATTTTTCAGTTATCTAATAAGGCAGGAAACAGATTGGTACCGCAAAATGCATATTCGATCTTCGCCGTTCATAAACTTTCTAACCAGACATCGTTCGGGGATTTTGTTTATACTAATAAATAGAGCTATGTTTTTACAAGCTTCGTTAGCAACATTTTTG